ACTGTACTTGTGTAGCACCTTTCTATCATATCAAGATACTCAAAGCTCTTTACAACACAGTCTGAGCCTCACCCATTCATACAGCACTCTAGATCTCTACAAAGACAAATCAGAGGCAATGAGGGGTTAGTGTCTTGCCCAGGGACACTTCGGCATGTGACTGCTGGTGGAATCGATCCCACAAATCTTGCATTGGAGGACGACTGCTCTAACCACTCGGCCACAGCGGCCCCAAGTATCAAAAGGATAGTTGCAGGTCAGTTACGTGATCATCTGCAAAGAACTAATCTGAATAGTTTCAGTCAGGGTTTAGAGCTCACCACACCACTGAATCTGCACTGGTGAAGGATACCAATGATGTTCTCATGGCCTGTGACAATGGACAGGTGTCTCCACTCGTCCTGTTGGACCTCAGTGCTGCATTTGATGCAGTTGATCACAATATTTTACTACAGAGGCTTGAATATGATGTTGGGATTAAAGGAACAGCTCTAAATTGGTTTATCATATTTATCTGATAGATTCCAGTTTGTAAATGTAAATAATGAATCTTCATCATACACCAAAGATAGTCATGGAGTTCCTCAGGGTTCAGTGCTTGGACCAATACACTTTACCTTGTATATGCATCCATTAGGTGAAGTTATTAAACAGCGTGGGATACATTTTCATTTTACCTTCATGCAGCTCTAATCTTCCCATATAGTCTGTTATACAGTATGAATGTTCCTCTTCAGTGCCCTGAGGTGACTTCTGTTGTGACTTGGTGCTAAACAAATAAACTGAATTGAACTGATAGCTAGAAGGATGACTAGAAGCTAAACGTATCCAAAGGAGCTGACGACAGTTTGAATCTCTGGCGTGAAAGGCGGCGGGCGATAAGCCCACGCACCTACCTGAGAGGAAACCCCACAGCTGCTGTGACGTGATAAAACAGATTCTGTTGTGAATTTAAATCCTCAGGAAACGGAATAATCCTTGAGTAAATAATGAGAAACTGTCGCCTCCTCCTCCTCCTCCTCCTCCTCCTCCTCCGTGTCCCTTCATCACCATCACAGCCACAGGAAGGCCCTGGCAGCTGATATTATCTCTGCGCTCCTCATCTTCGTCCTCTGTGTCGAAATCTCGCCCAAAGGGAAACCGTTGGGTTGCAACGGTCCGCGGGTCCGTTTCTGTGGGTTAGGCTGCTGATGGTGAAGAGCGTGGCGGGTGACGAGAGGGTCGCTTTCGGGAATCGATCAGCGCACTCTTCTGCTGTGAGGCAGTTGTGTTTAAGACCTGACTCTGGCATCATTCGTGACTTTTTTTAACTTTTAATGATTCTTCTTCTTCCCAGGGTGGAGTGACGACACAACAAACGGCTTTAGTGACTTTCAGAACCATGAGCAGGTTGCAGAAGTTTAATTTGTTGTAGAGTTCCCTCCATATTTTACTGCCGCGCTCGGACAGATCCATATTTGTGACCCGCGCTGTCGGAATGAGCTGCGGCGCGAACGCGGTGCACATTTCGATTTTCGCCGTCATCGAGTAAAAATAGCAACAAGAAACTTTTAGCTCAAAGTTTTCCAACCCTTCGTCTCGTCAACCTCCACTGTTTTCCTCTGCTGGCTGCCGTAGCCCCTGGGAAATCCCTTCGTATAATGCTTGGCGTCGTTCTGAAGCTTATGGATTTTATTTATTTATTTTTACATACGGCTTGAATTCCCGATGGCGTCGCTCCGGCTCAATAAAAATAAAGTTTTCTCGTTGCCCGGCCCGGTGATAAATCGTCAAATTTCAACAAAAACTACGGATCAGTTGGAAGTTCTGCCGGAATACAAAAGTTTAAAAAGTTGTTTTGGTGCAGTAGAAGTCCACTTTAGTAGCAGGTCAGCTCAGAGAAGCTAACAGTGGCTAATCTGTAAGTTGTAACTGGATCAGGTTTTGTACCCGTGATCCCAGTTTAATTCTGGTCTTCTACGTTAGCCTGACTTATCCAACCAGAAACCAGTCGGAACCAAACTGCGGCCAAGTCAAAGCTATTCCATGATGCTGCCGCCGCCGTGCTTGAGAGTTGGGATTCAGAGCCTCGTCTTGACTCTGTTCGTTCCGTCCGTCTTCCACTTGTTCTGAAGTCGGGTCTCGGGGGCAGCATCTTGAGCAGGGAGGTCCAGACATCTCTCACCACCTCCTCCAGCTCTTCTGGGAGGACTCCAAGGCGTTCCCAGGCCAAATGAGAGACGCATCTCCAGCGTGTCCTGGGTCTTCCTCGGGGTCTCCTCCCAGTCGGACATGCCTGAAGCACCTTCCTAGGGAGGCGCCCAGGGAGCATCCTTACCAGATGCCCAAACCACCTCAACTGACTCCTCTCGATGTGGAGGAGCAGCGGTTCTACTCCAGCTACCCTGAGGAGGAAACTCATGTCAACCTCCTGTATCCACGATCACCGTGACCAGAGGTGAAGGTTGGAACGTAGACCAACCGGTAAACAGAGAGCTTTGCCTTACAGCTCAGCTCCCTCTTCACCACAATGGACCGGCACAGAGTCCACAATACTGCAGACGCTGCACCAATCTGTCAATGTCACGCTCCGTTCATTCCTCACTCGTGAACAAAAACCCGAGCAACTTGAACTCCTCCGCTTGAGGCAGAACCTCGACCTGATGAGAACAATCCTCGAGGATCATCGCTTCAGTTCAGTTTATTTAAATTGTTCATACGGCACCAATTCAAAGTAAAGGTCATCCAAGGTCACCGTACAAAAATACATTAGTTTGCTTTAAAATAATTCACAATGATTTAAAAAAAAAAGGTTCAAATCGATCAACAAAAGCCCAAAATTGAGAAGAAATTAATAAATTTATTTTAGGAGATTTGCTTTTTATGTCATATTATAAAACTTCACATTTCATAACATTTAGATGTAAAATCTTCCTGAAATTATTTTTATTATTTACTTTGACCCTTGAAAAATCTTCACACGGTTTATGTTTGATGATAAATCACGTAATAATCCAGAGAGACTCTTAGATTTCATTGCCTCAACTACAAACCACAGGTTGTTGGGCAACTCTGTTGGGCAACAGGAGTTGCGATCAACCCTGACGAGGACAACAAAAGTCAGGTAGGTGATGAAGCAACGGAACGGGAAAAAATTCCGTTTGAAGACTTTCTGGGTGTTTTCGCTCAGATCGACATGAAATATCCTCATATTTAAATTTTATAAGTGAAGTCTCAAACTCTTTATACGACCGTACAGATTTTATTTTGTTTACGTTGATGTAAATAAATAAAATCAAAAACGCCTGGTCGTGTACTTTTAGCTCAGTATCTGCTGAACTGACGGAGATGCACGTTTGATTAGCTGTGGCGGCCATTTTGAATCATGTTTACCCCCAAAGCTTAAAGGTTTGTAGGCGTGCGTATCGTTACTACTTCCTGAGAGTTTCATTCAATTTTCTCCAGTTGTTCATGAGATATTTTGCTAACAGACAAATGAGTCACTGCTGTGATCAGTTAGAGTTCAGGACGTCATGCTGGGGATCACTCTCGGCTACTACCAGGCCGAGTTTTAACCTGATGCCTGCAAGCTTGGCCGGGTTAAAGCTGTTTTTGTGTTTTGTAGGTTTGATCAGCTGTGGCGGCCATCTTGAATCGTGCTGACTTCAAGCGTTAAAGAGTTGTCGGCGAACGTTCAGCGATTGTCTCCTGAGAGTTTTGTTAAGATCCGCTCAGTAGTTCGTGAGATATTTTGCTAACAGACACGGCGCCGATAACCACCTCTTGCTTCTGCTTTTCATCCGTTGCACAAAGTCCAGTTCTACTTCGCACGCGAGCCGGGCCTCGGAGTTCCAGTTTCCCAGCTGGACCGTCAGAGGCCGTGCTCGTCGGGCCCCTGCAGGTGCCGCTGGGACAGGATGTGTCTCAGGGTGTCCAGCTCCTGGCTCAGCTGTCCCACCTTGACCTGCAGCTTCTGGTTCTCCTCCTGCAGCTGCAGGGCCCTCTGCTGGGTCAGCAGGACCCGCCGCCGGGCCTTGTCCCGGCTCTTCCTCACGGCGATGTTGTTCTTCTCCCGTCTCTGGCGGTACTCGGCGCTGTCCTTGCTGATGACCCTCTTGGAGACGGGGGCCCGGAGGGACGGCAGCAGGAAGGGGGAGAAGTCCTGGAGCCAAGAGGAGACGTTTGTTTGACAGAGACGAGACAGGAAGTGGACGGCGTCTCTGCGTCTGAGCTCACCTGCTGAGCGTTGATCTGATGGTGGCTCGACCCGCCGGAGCCGGACGTGTAGGACAGGAACGCCACCTGCTCCCTGTCCTCAGCGCCCCCCCTCATGATCCCCTGACACTGACTGTAGGACATCATGTCCATCGGGGACATCTGGTTGGTCGGGGCCCCCTGGTTGGAGGAGCTCAGAACCTGACCGTGGACCTGACCCGGGTACGAGGACCCCCACTCCTGGATGACGGAGGACACCCTGGAATCAGACATCTGGGACGAGGGGTCAAAGGTTAGATTAACATTTATTAAAAAAAGAGACAAATTCAGTTTTTATTTGAAATTAGAGCGAACAAATAAAATAAAATTAGTCAAACTAAAACAACTCGAATATAAAAACACGTAAAAACGAAAGTAATACGCCGGCCTCACATTTAAACCAGAGCAAAGCTTCAAGGGTTTTTATTTTATTTTTATTTATTTTACAATCCCCCCCCCCCCCCCATTAATGAAATCATATTAAAACATTTGTTTAAATTGATTTATTTTCAAACGGAATCAATAAAGTTGATCACAAAGAAGCAAATTTGAAGATATTTTCGGGTAAAACTTTATAAAAAAATATAAAATAATTCATTTGTTTAGTGAAGTTACAAAGTTTGGGGATTTATTTTACTAAATATTTTGACCCAAAAAGAAGAAAAAAAACAAACAAACCCATAAAACATGTCTAGTTTAAAATTTAACAAACAATATCCCTGAATAAACAGCAAATTAACTAAATTAAAACAATAAAATTACCCAAATGGGAGAAGATATCCAGGAATATTTTTTATTTAATCAACTAACTAAAAAAAGGACTATAAAAAAGTAAAATAATTTGATTGCTCCATTTCTTTAATAATGATAAAAACTACTAATTTATGGTAGAAAACATTTAGGAAATTATTTGACTGTAATAGGAAAAACAAATAAACTAATCTGTTTTACTTTCTAAATAAATTACCCAAATATTAAAGATTAAATTGAGCAAAACAAACAGTAAAAATAAATACAATAGAGATCTTTCCTAAAAAGTTATAAAACATACTTTTCTTTGTATTTATAATTAAAACTTAAAACAATAAATAAAGAAATGTGAAAACAAACCTTTAAATGCTTATTTTTCTGAAATTATCTGAATAGAAAAACGAACACTTTAATATTATTCTCAGTAGGTTTTTTAATTATTTTTTTCTTTCAACTTCTTTAGTTATTTAGAAGTTTTAAAAAATAAACTTCAATTTTGTAATTCTAAATTTAATTTGTAAACCCTTATAGTTGTTTGCATGTTTTTCTTGTATTTAGAAGCTCAGTTTGCTCATATTTTAGTGTCTAAACAAACTAAAAACAGTAGTTTCGATTAAATTCTGTCTTACCTCGACTCTTCAGCTCAGAGATCTGAGAGTAAATGAAGTCAGGCAGGTACCCCAGAGATTATCACACCATCACTTCCCCTCTGACACACGCACGCACACGCACGCACAACATCTGTCATTTTTAGGAAAACTCGTTAGATATTATCACTTTCAGCATCGAGATCATTTCTGTCTCCTCGCGGCTTCCGTAGCTCCGCAACAAAATCAAAATGGCGGCTCCGGTTGACAACGTGAGTAAAGCAAGGTTGAATAATTGGTATTAAAACGCTTATTTTTGGTTTCCAATTATGTTTTTGAATACATTTGAGATTTTTAGTGTTTTTACTTTAAATTTTATGACAATATTTATAGAAATGAGTGGTGTATTTAAAAAAAAAATTTGCGAAGAGGCCGCAGCGAACGTGTTTCTCTGTAGCCAAATTTAAATTTATACATTGTTCACAGGTCAAGGTCTAATTTTTATACTTTTTTTTTTTTTACAGGATTTAATCGAGAGAGATTTACCGAAAGCTGTTCAACTCCTGAATGATCTCACTGAGCAGGTAAGCTAACACGGTGCTTTTATTTTGAAACAACAGTCCTCTTCCTGTCACAAAGCTGGGCTTTTTAAAAGATTTAAATTAATAAACAATAATATTTACGATTTGTTTAAGTTACATTAGACTTTTAAACCCTTATAAATTTAAACAATATAAATATTCTAGAGTTAATAAATATTTTTTAATTATATCTATAATCAGATAAATGGGCAAAACGTAATAAGTTTTTTCTTTATATAATCTAATTAGAAGAAAGTTTAAATTTTAGTACTGAAGTGTGATATTTGAGTGGAATCCCTTTCCAAGTGCTTTTCAAACATGCCCAACTCTTTCAACCTTGATTTAAACAGATTAACGTCATTGATCCTCTGGGATTCATTTAAATGAGCAACATCTTGACTTCCTGCTTCAACTCGTCATGAAACTAAATTAGTATTTTCTACTTTAGGTAACTTCAGTTACAAGTCATGTCCGCGAGCTGCTGACGAAAGTCAAAGATGGGGCTTTCAACACATCAAAGGTGAGTGAAGGCGGCTCGTTATCTGTCCGTTAGCAAAATATCTTATCAACCACATTAGATGTCTACAACTAGAGATTTTAAGCTAAAATTGTCTGTGGTAGTAGCTGAGAGTCATCCCCGACTCTGAGGCTAACACAGGATCTTTGTTTTAAAGCGATGTGGCGGACCCCCCCTTAATGATGATAGATGATGCTCTGGCTCTATTTTGGTCTTCATGTGACACTTTTAGCTCCTGTTGCATGCCCTTTTGCTCCTTTTAGTTATGGCTTTGCTGCTTTTAACTACTGCTATGCTACGTTTGGCTTTTAATTCTTGTTCTGTTAGCTTTCAGCTATCATTCTCTTTTAACTTGCTTATTTTCTGCTGGTTTTGATTGTTTTAGCTACAGTTTTGCTAATTTTAGCCTCTATGTTGCTCCATTTTAACCAACGTGTTGCTCATTTTAGCTTCTATGTTGCACATTTTA